CCAGGCTCAGCTCCGCGCCGCGCAGCGCCTGGCGCCTCCGCGGCTGCCCGCCCGGGCTCAGCTCCTCCACGGTCACGCGGCACTGCAGCTCCGCGTCCTCGGTGCCCGCGAGCATCGCCTGCGAGGAGACCCGGGCGTGCGGGAGTGAGGACGGTGCAGGGGCGGGCGGTCACCGAGACCGCGGGAGGCCGGATGGGTGCCGGGGCTCATCCCAAGCCCACTCTAAACCGAGGTGGTGGCGCACGCCTGGGACCCAGCACTCCCAGAGACCAAAGCAGGATGATCGCAGGTTCGAGCCCAGCCCGCGCAACTTAACGATGTCTCTCAAAATGAAAAATAAAAAGGGCTGGGGATGGAGCTCCGTGCAGAGGCCCTGGGCTCCATCCCAGTTCAAACAAAACAAAACCTCTAGCACTGTCCTCGGCTACACAGCAGTTTCCGGAGCACTGAGTGGACAGCGTCGAACACACCCAGAGCTGGGGAGCCTCAGTGGCCCTTCCACGTCAGAAGGCTGTCCCTGAGCCGGGCGTGGTGGCGCACGCCTGTAAGGAGGCTGAGGCAGGAGGATCGTTGCGAGTTCGAGGCCAGCCTGGGCTACAAAGTGAGCTCAGGGCCTGCCTGAACTGCACAGCGAGACCCTGTCTCCAAAAAAAAGACAAAAAGAAAAAAACAAAAAGAAAAAAAAAAAAAGGCTATCCCTGTGCTCAGAAAAGAAGCTTACTTCAAGAGACCCAGGACCAGGTCTCACTCGTCGGGATCGCCTCCCCAGGAGGCAGGGGAAGGGACTGACGTGTAATAAGCCCCGCGGCCTTCCAGGTACGTTAAGTACCTGGTTTCTGCGTGGCCAGGCAGGTGTCGTTGTTGCAGAAGTGCAGACACTGGGCCAGGCGGCGCAGGCGCTCTCTGTCAGCCCCACGGGCAGAGGATTTTAGGGTCAGTGTGATTCCGACGCCCCAGCCCTTCCCTCTTCCAAATGGCTCGGGAATCTGGGAAAAGCCCAGGTCCCGGAATCCGAATCTCCCCGTTCGGCTCACCAGTCTGTACCCTCCTGGTGGGAGTCCCCCCTCTCTCCTCTTCCCCCCCAGGACTCTGACAGACACTCACTCTTGCCGGTGCTCGGATGAAGAAGGCCACCAGAGCCGGTGGGCAGCAAAACTAACTAGGAATTTTCAAATACTAAGGGAGAGAAAAATCACCCTATCACAGGCCGGATCTTTAAATTCCGTAGCCAATCAGAGGCGGGGGCGTGTCCTGGCGTGTCTTTCATTGGCCCAAAGCGGAGAAGTTTGGGTTGTACCAATTGCAACCTGAAGGAGGGAGGTGTAGTATGCTGCACGGCGGACCGCATCCCACCACACCGCATTTCCCAGATGAGCGGGCGAGGTGGAACGAGGCGGCGTGGACTTTTGCCTTTCTCATTCGGCTGAGGCCCAGGAGTAAGGAACCCTGAAACCAGAAAGAGAGGTTGTCTCCAGCAACCCCCGCCCTACTTACACGAGATCGAACCCAAGGAGCCACGTTACAACTATGTGGCTATACTGAAAACTGTTGAAGCCGGGTGTGTTGGCTCACGCTTCGTGTCTCAGCACTCCGAAGGCTGAGGCAGGAGGATCGCCTTGAGTTCAAGGCCAGCCTGCATTACATAGCGAGACCCTCTCTTAAAAATAAACAAATAAAAGTAAATGCTATTGAATCGCATGCTTTCAATGATTACATTGTACAGTTAGTGAATTAAATCTCTCCTTTTTTTCTTGTCTTTTTGAGACAAGGTCTCTATGCTGTTCAGGCTGGCCTTGAGCTCACTTTGTAGCCCAGGCTGGTCTTGAACTCACAATGATCCTTCTGCCTCGGCCTCCTGAGTACTGGGATTACAGGTGTGCGCCACCACGCCCGGCAGTGAATTAAATCTCAATTAAACTTTCTTCTTTTTCGGTACTGGGATTGAACCCAAGACCGTAGCACTAAGCTATATCCCTTGACCTTTTTATTTTTTGAGACAGATCTCACCAAATTATTAAACTGACCAGGCTGGGCTCAAACTTGCAATCCTCCTGCCTCAGCCTCCCCGAGTTCTGGTTTTGTAGATGTGCACCACCACTCCCACTTGCTTGCTTGTTTTTTTCAGGGAGGTCTCACTGTGTTGTCCAGGCTGATCTCAATTCCTGGGCTAAACCCCTCACCCTGCCTCAGGCTTTCCAGTAGCTAGCACTATAGGCATGGACCTTGTACTTGTGCTGTGAACACCCATACCACCATCATTCTACTACTAATAATCTGCTGTATTTATTACACATCTATCCATCCCTTTACCCATGAATCCATCTGTGTATTATGCATTTCATTTTATTTTGTGTTTTTGAGACAGGGTCTCACTATGCAGTTCATGCTAGCCTTGAGCTCACTTTGCAGCCCAGGCTGGCCTCAAACTTACAGAGATCCTCCTGCCAAAGCCTTAGAGTGCTGGGATTATAGGCATGCTCCACCACACCCAGCTTGTATTACACATGATTTTTTTTTTTTTTTTTTTTTTTTTTGTCTTTTTGAGATAGGGTCTCGCTATGCAGTTCAGGCTGGCCTTGAGGTCACTTTGTAGCCAGGTTGGTCTCAAACTTGCAATGATCCTCCTGCCTCAGCCTCCCAAGTGCTGGGATTACAGGCGTGTGCTACCATGCCCGGCTGTTTTTTTTTTTTTTTTTTTTTTGAGACAGGGTTTCCCTAAGTTGCCCACAAGATCCTTAAACTTGTACTCCTCCTGCCTCAGCCACCTGTAGCTAAGATTACACACATGTACCACCATGCCCAACAGGATGTTTCATTTATGGCCCTGTAGTGTGCAGAGAATTAACTAGAGTTTATGTTTACTTTTTAAATGTAAACTTTACACACAGTGAAATGCACAAATCTTTAGGTGTCTCACTAGAGGAGTTTTGACAAATTCATATTCCTGTGCAGCCCAAGCCCCCGTCGAGATATAGAACTGTGCCATTCAATTTAGTTACATCTGGTTATTTTACTTTGTGTTTTGTTTTGTTTGAGATAGGATCTCCATATGTAGTTCAGGCTGACCTTAAACTGTCTTGTCCTCTGGCCTCAACCTCTCTAATGCTGGGATTGTAGGCCTCACTAAATTATTTTTATTAACAATTTATTTTTTATTTTTGAATATCACACATTTCCAACAGTACTTTCTAAAAATACTATTCTGTATGCATTTAACAAATCTGACAGAAGGACAAGTACCTAGGGTATTTGCATGTATCTGAGTTTTAACAAAACAGCCAATTAATACACATTTAAAGTCACTGAGGCTGGGCATGGTGGTGCACACCTGTAATCCCAGCACTTGGGAGGCTGAGGCAGGAGGATTATTGTGAGTTCCAGGCCAGCCTGGGCTACAAAGTGAGCTTAAGGCCAGCCTGAACTGCATAGCGAGACCCTGTCTCAAGAAGACAAAAAAGAGCCGGGGATATAGCTCAGCGGCATAAGCGCCTGCCTGGCAAGAGCAAGGTCCTGAGTTCGATTCCCGGTACACACAAAAAAATTTTAAAAAACAGACAACAACAACAAAAAACAACATGAAGTCACCGAGTACAGGTGACAGTGATAAAACTCCGGTGGATTCACGCAATGGCATTGTCCTGTCCTTCTGAGCACGTTCATGGGACAGGGGTGGCAACAACCCCACCCACAGCACAAGCAGAGAGACCACCCTGTTTCTGAAAAGCAAGTTTAGGGCAGGAGACATTGTCCTCACTCCTTTGAGGACAAAGCTGGTGTCTGTGGACAGGGCCTCACCTTCCGTCCTGGTCCCCAAGTCCCTTCGCATCACGATCACCAATACCTTCGCGGATGGACTTCCCATCCTCAACAGCTTCCAGCGACATCTTCATCTTTTCCGTCACCTGCATCTCCTCCTCTCTTCCACCCACATCTTCTTGCCTTTCCCACCATCGTGTCTCCTTCCCCCTCTGTCTCATCGGACTCCTCCTCAAAAACTTTTGTACAAATTTCCTCTTCATCTTTTTCACCTGAATCTTTGTCAGACTCTCAGCGGCTTCCTCATCTCACCTGCTTCCAGAGCCCTCATCAAATTCGGATTTCTTGGTATCATTGTCTTTCTCTCTCTCTCTCTCCTTTTCTGTTTTGAGACAAAGTTCAGCTGGCCTCATACCAGCAGTGATCCTCCTGACTCAACCTCCCAAGTAGTGGGGTTACATGTGTGTGCCACCACACCTGGCTTTCTTTTTTTGTTATTGTTTTTTTCCAGTACCTGGAATCGAACTCAGGACCTTGCGCTTGCCAGGCAGGCGCTGTGCCACTGAGCTAAATCCCCAGCCCTGACCTGACTTTCTTCTAATTATTGTCAGAAGGTTTTCAGGAGACTCCTTGTCAGAGTCATCCTTGTCAAAATCTTGGTTTAGAGCCATTTCTCCCAGCAGTCTTCACGCTATTTTTGGAAGTCTCTGTCAGATTTGCACTTGGAGGTGGCCTCTCTTGACTTTTTGGGGGCTCCCCTCCTCTTTCCGTCCTTGTCCCCAGCACTGTCTTCAGACTTGTTGGCAAGGCTGTTCTCAAAACCTTCTTTGAGTCTTGTTTAGATTTTCCTTTGGGGCCATTCTCTTTCAATTCTTCTTTTTTTTTCTTTCTTTTTTTTTTTTTTTTTGTCTTTTTGAGACAGGGTTTCACTATGCTGTTCATGCTGGTCTTGAGCTCACTTTGTAGCCCAGGTTAGTCTCAAACTCGCACGATCCTCCTGCCTCGGGCTTCCAAGTGCCTCGGGCTTCCTCCTGGCCTCAAACTCCCTGCAGTCCTCCTACTTCAGCCTCATAATTTTCTTTCTTTCTTTTTTTTTTTTTTTTTGCGGGGGGAATACCGGGAATTGAATTTAGGGCCTTGCGCTTGCCAGGCAGGCGCTTGTGCCACTGAGCTATATCCCTGGCAATGTTTTTATTTTTATTTTATTTTTTATTTTTTTTTGAGACAGGGTCTCGCTATGCAGTTCAGGCTGGCCTCGAACTCGCAACGATCCCCCGGCCTCAACCTCCTGGGTGCTGGGATTACAGGTGTGCGCCACCACGGCCGGCTGGCACTGTTTTTATTTATTATTTTTTGGTTTTTTGAAACACGGCTTTGCTATGTATTGCATACTGGCCTTGTGGAACACCATGCTAGACTTGTAACTTTTTCAAGGACGACCCTCTTCACAATTTTCTCGGCAGCCCTCTTTGATCTCCTCTTCAGCCTCACCTTCCTTACTACCTTTGCCAGCAGCATCTTCTTCCAGCCCGGCCCGAAATCTTGCTAAATCGTTAAATTGCCCAGGATGAAATCCAGTTTGCGATCCTCCTGCCTCAGCCTCCCAGAGTACCAGGATTACCGGTTTGCACCACCAAGCCCGCCTGTCGTATTGCGTTTTGTATGACTCTCTTAGACCTTTTACCAAATTTATATGCATGCACGCTTTCCTAAGAGAATCAACAATGACTCCTTCAACATTAGCTCCGGGCCGGTTAGCTAGACACCGCCTCCGCCTCCAGGATGTACGGCCCCCGGCTCCGCCCTCGGTCCCGCCGGGCCACAGCTGCCGGCAGTCTGAATCTTGATTGACTGCTGGAGGAAATGGGAGGAGCCAGAGCAGACACACACCCGGTTCTGGAGCCGGCTTCCTCTTACAGGCCTGCCCCTTCGCTGCCTGCAAGGCAGGCTGCTGCCCCCGCATAATCAGAGCCTAGGGAGCACCCGCGCTGCTCCCGGTCTCCTCGCCTGACCTGAAGCCTGGTTGGGAGGCCAAGCCTCAGGGCAAGGAGTTTTGTTTCCCTCCCTCCCTTTCTTCCTCCTTTCTAAGCTTCCTCTCTTTCTTCCTTTCCTTTTTGTTGTGGTTGTTGAGTTTTTATGTCCAGGCTGGCCTTGAACTCATTATGTAGCCCACGCTGGCTTTGAACTCGCGGTGATCCTCCTGCCTCAGCCTCCTGAGTGCGGGGATTACAGGCATGTGCCACCATACCCGGCTTTTATTTTATTTTATTTTATTTTATTTAGTGCTGGGATTAAACCCAGGTCCTCTTGCATGTTAGGTGAGTACTCTAATGCTGGTCTACATCCCCATCCTGTCTACTTTCTCTTTTTCTTTCTTTCAGAAATGATGGTCTCACTAAATTGTCCACGTTGGTGTAGAACTTGTGATCCTCCTGCCTCAGGCTCCCAAGTCCCTGGGCTTACAGATGCGTGCCACCATGGCTGGTGGTGTCTCTACTGTCTCTTGAATCTGTTCCTGTCATCTTCGTAACTCCTGCCCTGGTTCCCAAATTTCTGAAACAGTCTTCTACTTTTTTTTTTCGTACCGGGAATCGAACTTGGGATCTTGTGCTTGCCAGGCAGGCACTTGTGCGGCTGAGCTATAGCCCCAGCTCTGGAACAGTCCTCTACTGAAAGAACTTCCCAGTCTCTCTTGGCCTGGTCACTTTGCACACACCAGGTATGAAAATGAGCCTGTAAAATGCAGTTGAGATTGTGTTGCACCCTGCTTCAAGCTTCAGTGGCCCCTGCCACTTGCAGGAGGTATTTCAGATCGCTTAGATCAGCACTCAAGGCCCTCGGGCACTCCAGCTCCTCCTGTCTCCGGGCAGCATTTTAAAAACTCTGTTCCCGCCCACCATGCTTATGACCGTACAAAAACTGCCCGCAGTCCTCCTACCCAGCCAAAGTGTCCTCGAAGTTCTCACTTGTGTCTTTTTGTTTGGAGACAGGGTCTTTCTATGTATTTCAGGCTGACCTTGAATGCACTATGTAGCCCAGGCTGGCTCGAATTCAAGGTGATCTTCCTGCCTCAGCCTGTTGAATGCTGGGATTACAGGCGTTGCACCACCAAGCCCGGCTCCTTCACCCTTTAGATAAAGGAACCCAGGTCTAGACATGAAGGAAAAGGTCCCCTCACCTTCAACCCCCTTGGCCTTGGTGCCCCAGGCTGCCCTCTTCACCGCAGGGCTGGGAAAGGCCTGGGAGCCAGAGGGTCGGCAGCAGGGAGTGAAAAGGGGCCTCTGTCCACTGGCGCAGCTGCTGCTATGGCAGCCAGAGCCAAAGGAGGTCACCATGGATCCCTCCGGCACTTAATTTGATGTGCTGCGGCCTGGGGCAGGGCTACAGCGAGGCGGCGCTGGAGGCTGGCAGGGAGCCACTGGTTGTGCGCCTGATTCTCTAGTGCGAAACGAGGGCGCGCCGCGCAGCTGAGCCCTCTCGGCCGGGCGCCACACTCCTTCCCCAGCGCTGCAAGATGGAGCGAGAGGCTGGGGAGGCCCCTCGGACGTGGGGCGCAGAGAGGGGTGTGCGACGCCCGGGGAGGGCCGGAGAGCACCGCGCTGGGGGACTCGGGAGAGCCAGGAACCCCCGACAAGGACCCCAGCCCCAGGTCTTCCTGTTACACGACCCTCCGGATCGGCAGAGCAGCTCCTATCCCGCCCGGCTCCGCCCAGCCGGCCCAGCGCCCAGGGGACCAGGCCATCTCAGGCGGAGGCGCTGCTCTGGGCACTCATCGGGGGCTCCCGGCAAAGCTGCGTGGGTTCCGCCGAACCGGCCCAGGGGATCAGGAGGCCCCCGGCAGCACCCAGTCCGCTCCGGCCCGGCCGTCGGGCCACGCCCGCGCCGCCCTCCTCCGCCTCCGCCTGCGAACCGGAAGCCCCCGCTGCTCCCCACCGCAGCCCCCCGCAGCCCCTTCCTAGTTCCTCTCCCTCCGCGGGTCCGGGAAACCACTCTCCCCCTCCCCCCCCCCCCGCCCGCTTCCTCCGGCTCCAGCTCCGCCCCGCTCCTCTGGCCGCCTTCAGGCCACGCCCACTCCCTTCAGGCCCCGCCTCCGCCCTATCTTCTCCCCACCCGAGGCCCTGCTTTCAGGCCCCGCCCCACGGACTCCGCCCCTGGCCCCTCCCCTTATCCACGCCCACTCCCCGCCTGGTCCTGCCCTGGCCCCGCCCCCAGCCCCCGGAAGCCTCTCCCCGCCTGAGGCCCCGCCCCCTCGAAGTTTCTTGGGCGCCCGGCGACCGGCGGG